CAGAATGATCCACCAGTTGTTCTTGCCAAAGTTGATGCCAATGAGGAGCAAAACAAGGCTCTTGCCAGTGAGTTCGACATAAAAGGTTTTCCCACACTTAAGATCTTGAGGTATGGAGGTAGCGTTGTTCAAGATTACAAAGGACCACGTGAGGCGGATGGTATTGTTTCTTACGTGAAGAAACAAAGTGGCCCTGCTTCAGCTGAAATTAAATCATCCAAGGATGCAGAAGATTTTATAGATGTCAATAAGATCATTATTGTAAGTTCCCCCTCCTTCCTATTTCCCTCTCATTATATATGTATACACATTCATAAAAGCATATGCTCATACCAGGGTAACCTGATGCACGAACAACCACTCTCTTTCACACTGATTTGCGTATGTTTTTCACGTGTTGTTTTTCCTTGAGGGATCTGCAGAACTAGAGTTGATGAGTATGGCTTTAAATTCTTATAGGTTGGGGTCTTTCCCGAGTTCTCCGGCGAGAAATTTGAGAATTTTACAGCTGTGGCTGAGAGATTACGTGCTGATTATGATTTTGGTCATACTTTGGATGCTAAACTCCTTCCTCGTGGGGATTCATCAGTTTCTGGCCCTGTGGTTAGGTTATTCAAGCCTTTTGATGAACTTTTTGTAGATTTTCAGGTATAGGGTTGGTGTAAAATTCTTCTACATTTTCTGATGTACTAGACAAAGTTCCAACAATTGATCACATGTGTACTTGTAGGTGTTCGATGTGGATGCTTTGGCAAAGTTAGTCGAAGAAGCAACTATTCCTACTGTGACTGTATTTAACAAGGACCCAAACAACCATCCATTTGTTGTTAAATTCTTCAACAGTCCAAATGCCAAGGTGCGGCATTTACTTAGTCTACCGGATTTATGTTGCCTGTTGATATATGATAGTCGTCTTGCTGTCTAAACCTGCATCTGTTTTCCTATTATTTGGGTTGATAGATCTCTTTTATTTTCATCATATATATATAAGTTGCGATATAAAATTATACACTATACATATGAATCACATGATGCATGATATTAGTTCTCTTATTCTTGGTGTCTCTTGTTTTCTATCTTGAGGATCATTTGTTTGATGATATATTAGAAGAGTAAATGTGGATCAAGATTTGATATTTTAAGGTTTTTTTGGGCCGGTTCTTTTAAGTTATTTTCTTCACTTCTAATTTATGGTCTTTCTCTGCACTTGTTCTTAGATGCTCTTTCGTTTCTGCAATCAGCATGAACTCTTCATGTATAATGATAAAGCGCCACAACCTAATAGATGTGTAAAGACTAGTGCAATAATTATCTTTTTTTTCCCAAAAGTATCTTTTTTTCTCCGGGACGTCCAGAAAAGATTGTGGTTTTCAGTGTTTTTTATCAAATAAATTTGATTCTCATTGCTGCTGCTTGTTTAATATCCTACTAGCTTGTACTTTCTAGAGCTGGAGTTCAGAATTGGTGTACTTTTTTGATATTGCATATCTTCTGCCGGTTCTGCTATCATCTTTCTATGATTGCTGTACTTGGATATGCACTTCATGCATCCAAATATCATCTCTTTATTGAAGTGCAACTGCAACCTTAATTATCTCTTCATGCTGGACTACTTAGAGCTGGAGACCTTAACCCCCAACCCCAGTTGCCCAATTACATTTGGGAGTAGTTTCTTATCAGAAAGTATGGAACTGGCAGGCCATGTTGTTCGTGAACTTCAACATATTTGATAGTTTCAAATCCAAGTATCATGAAGTTGCTGAGCAGTACAAAGGCAATGATATTAGTTTCTTAATTGGTGATGTTGAGGCCAGTCAAGGTGCCTTCCAGGTTAGGTTTCTTATTATTGGTGTTCACATTATTTCTTGGTTATTGGTGTTAACATGATATCTTCGTTGAGCAGTACTTTGGACTCAAAGAGGATCAGACACCTCTAATCATCATACAGACAAATGAAGGAGAGAAATATCTCAAAACAAATGTTGAGCCTGATCACATTGCATCATGGGTTAAGGAGTTCAAGGTGATGATTCTCCCTGCCTTCACCTTTTTCCTTTTACCCGTTTCTCTTGGATTTATTGTTTCTCCCAGGTTTTCTCCTCCACTATCTACATAAATTCATCTTCTATCCCTTTTCTTGTACATTCTAAATAGACTGTGGAGTTCTCTTCTTACATCCAAATTTCTACTTATTAAATAGCAAATTGAATGTAAGGAGAAATCCTCAAGAAACATTATTTCTATGGGCAACTTGTTTCTTGTATTGTGTCTAAAGTAATTACTTGATCAAACTTCAGGATGGCAAGGTGAAACCTTACAAAAAATCAGAACCTATCCCAGAGGTCAACAACGAACCTGTTAAAGTTGTGGTTGCTGACAATTTCCAGGATATGGTTTTCAACTCTGGGAAGAATGGTATTTCCTACCTAATGTTCAATTCTTACTTACATTTTGTTCAGTTGTATCTTAGGTAGTTCTTATAGGTTTCACTGTCTTAATTCTCATTCATTTTTGTGAAGTATAAGTATTTGAAAATCAAATGGAATATTTCACCATCTCGCATGGCTTTTCAGCATGTCATTCATATATTTGTAAAGCATACTAGACTGACTTACAACAGTTGTTATTTGGAGATAAGTTGTTCCAACTTCTTCTCATTGAGCTGTTCAAAAATGTTGATAAGTAATGCATTCTTGTTAATAAGTAACAGAATCAAATATATGCTATAAGTTCAACATCTGCGGAAATAAGTTGTTCCAACTTCTTCTCATTGAGCTGTTCAAAAATGTTGATAAGTAATGCATTCTTGTTAATAAGTAACAGAATCAAATATGTGCTGTAAGTTCAACATCTGCGGAATAGGACACAGTATTAACATTTAGGTGCAGTATGACATAAAATAATGAGTCAATTATGTGGCATTGTTCAATTTCTTCCTCACTTCATCTTCCTTAGGCGCATTATCATTTTGTTCATCTTGCTCGTCTTCCTGAACATGTACATGTTCTTTTGTTAGAATTTTCATTGGATATGCAGCAATGGTAATTCATGTGGTTGTTGTTTCTTATAGTACTCATCGAGTTCTATGCCCCTTGGTGTGGACACTGTAAGCAGTTGGCCCCAATCCTTGATGAAGTGGCTGTCTCATTTGAAAGTGATGCAGATGTTATGATTGCCAAAATTGTGAGCTTCCCACTCGACTCTTCATTATCTCATAATTCTGGAATATATTGGCGAATTTGTCTGTTGCTTGTAAAGTGAAAATGGAGGAAATACATGTTGGGCCACCATGTTCTTTTTGGTTTCAAGAATAGAAGAATGTAATCTAGGAATTAAAAGTGGGTTCCGTAACTTTTTCCATTAATAGTGTGCGATTGTGGTTCAGTATGTAAAACTGGATTAGACTTGGGCCCAGATAACGAGAATGAGTAAACATGTAGTCTGGGCAAAGTACATATAATGTTCAGTTTGACACTATCACAAGTTAATTTTTTAAAAAAATCTATCGTAATAACTAGGGCCAAGTGCTTACTAGCATAGTGAAGTGCTGGATAGGATTGTAGGTAAAAGGATCAAGCCTGTGGCATCGAGTATCTGCTTGGGAGTGTAGACTTGGAGTGTACATGCTGCATGAATTGATACCTAGCGAAGTTCTCATGCTATCCATGCCTTTTTATTTTTTTGAAAATGTCCTGCTATTAGTGTGTATATGTTGGCTCCTTTTGTTGTGTCATTCTACTGCAATCTCCTCTAAATATTTGTAATTTCAGTATTGGAAATTTCTAATGATCTCTTCTTTTGTTGTTATGTAGGATGCTACTGCTAATGATTATTCACAGGGAACTTTTGAGGTCAAAGGTTATCCTACTCTTTATTTCAAGTCAGCAAGTGGAAAGCTTTTGCAGCATCAAGGTGGGAGGACCAAGGAAGACATTATTGACTTTATCCAGAAGAATCGGGATAAAGCTGCAGAGCAAAGTCCGGGAAAAGATGAGCTATAATTAAAGGTAACTAACTAACTGTAGTTGTAGGTCTGAACATTATTACCACTTGTTAAATAAACATTGCATTTGGAGTTCGAATAACTTTGGTCTAGTGTTTTCTGCAGTTTTGGTTAGAGGGGTAATTGATATTTGGAATCAGTTTCGACTGGTTTTTGTTTGCTTTCTAAATTTTCTCGGCCAAATGTGACAGGAAGAAAATGTCTAATGCAGTTGGCGTTGGCTGCCTTACTGATTTACAAGCTCCAGGCAAGTGAGAAGAAAGAAACAAGAGCACAACATCTCCAGCTTTGCACCTCCGCCATAACCCGAATATAACCCTTCTTACCCTAGTCTGTAATCAAATATTTTCTCATGAGCAGGATTTTCCGAGGATTTAGATATCGTAGCAACTCTCAATGGTTTGATTAGTTGCACCTTTGTATGTTGAATGGTTTTCTAAAGAAACTTTTCACTTTTTAAGTTATTTACGACGTGACTTACTTGGATGGATGCCTATTGTTTTTAAGCCGACTTTTATCCATTGTTTGTCTAAGATAATTGTTTATGGAAGTATTTGGAACACAGGTCCAAGTAGAAAGTATTGCACGAATACTGAAACTGAACACTTGTCAGCCATCTGCATTGTATCCATCGTATTGAGTCTTCTTTTGTAGCATCTAGTATGCTTTGTTTTAGATGATGAATCTCCCATAATAATAGGCATTATGAACACACACTCATACCTTGTCCTTATCTTTTTCACAAATAGGTCATAACGAATTGCACATAACTGCTTTGTTCTATACATGAATGTTAATGCACCACCTACAAGTAGTTTCTATTTTCTTGGGCAATAAAATAAACGGGTACTAAAAAGTCTGGATTGAGTAAGGACATACAATCACATCTTCTGTGATGGTATTAGATTTTTCAACCATTTATTGGACAAAATTTTAGTTGTTCATTTGTAAGAAATGGACTTTACTTATCCCAAATAGGGACTCTTAACTTAACAGGAAGGAGAATCTGGAACTTATTTTCTGCACCATTGCCAAAATTTTCATCCATCCATCCTACCATATGAGACAATTTCAGCCTTCGCCAACCATGATAAACCATAAATCCAACATAAACTGCTAGCTAACAATATGATCATCCACCAGTACGACCCAATCAACAAATAAATGAATAACTATACAACAACCTACCTATTAACGTCGAAGGGTGAAACTGAAACTATATAATCAACTGTTATGCTAAAAGTTACCCTCTGAAAAGCAGCACTTCTCCTAGCCACCTCGTCATCAAACATCAATCCCGAACATGCATTGATCCACATTTGTTTCTGTCGAAAATCTCTACCAAGTGTAGATTCAAAATATGAAATCCCCATCTCTTGGTAATATACATATGACACAGCGACTGCGATCCATTTGATGTGGTGCAACTCTTCAACCATCTTTTTTCAAATAGAAAAACAAGGTTAGGATTCAATATGAGGAACTATGAACTGTCTCTAACACTCTGTAACCTAACTTGTTCATGCGCTCTCAGAGCTTCTGAAGTGAAATTCTCCAAAGCCTTGAAAATTGGAAGTAAGCCACCTTGTAAACTACTAGAAGCTGCATCATGCACCAATTTAATGGCGTCTTTGTGCTTTGTTCTCTCCTCAACTAATTTCTTTTTGAACGAATCCAAGTCCACCTTTAGATCATCCAATGGTGAAATCCCTTTCTCAGATGGAACAATTATGTGACTTCTGTTAGACATCGCGTCTTGCTCATGTCTCGATCCCCCTCTCCTTTGCTGAAGCATGGTTAACCGTTTCTTGTAGTCTTTTGAGAGGTATTCTGCTTTGATCCGCTGTCTCTGCTCCTCATCTTGTCGTTCCCAAAGCTGCCTCAAATTTGAAGCAAAATCATTCATTGCAATTGCTACCCGATTTTCAGAGATTGCCTCCACTGCCTGACTCCAATCGTTGCAAATTACAAAAACTGGAGGTGCTCCAAGGCGACCAGGAGAGAAAGGGACAGGTCCATCTGGTGTTTCTTCAGGCTCATACGTAAGGCATCGGAGAAGCCATCCGTTTAAGGATTCGACATAGGACTTCTGACTGCAAATCCAATCATTGAAGTGGCTACACCACGACAAAAGTTGCACCTCAAGTTCAAGAGTAGCTCTCAAGCTCGAATCTCTTTGGAATCCAGTATTTGCTCTGAGAGCCCTTGTTTTACTCTCCATCACTGCTTGAAACTGCTTCTGATGACAGTTGAGCATTGACCTCCACATTCTCACCAGCCTGCTTATTTGCATACAGAAGATTTATCATATTGGGTTCCAATTGGGAGAATAATGCAACTGGGTTATTTCATGCTGCTTCACAAAAATACATGAGGGTAAAAGTTCCACTTCAATTCTTATATATAACGAAGAAATGCCAAGGTCATGTGGCATTACAATGCATGAGAAGGAGAAGCTCATATTACTTCTTGAAGGAAGAAAACACAAAATAATGCATTACAATACTGAGTTTATAAAACATTGCAGTGCATAACAAAGTAAACATTGACATTACATCTTGAACAGAGAAATACAAAATAACTTATGAATAAGAGTGTAAGTTCATGATGCATTACAGCGCATGACAAAGCAGAAGTCCATACTACTACTTGAATGCAGTTATGCAGAAATACAAATAAAATACTATTCCCTCTATTTTAATTTGTTTGTCCTACTTTCATTTATTTTTAGTCTATCTATTTCAAAAAGAATATCTCTTTCCTAATTTGGCAACTCTTTAATTTCAAAATCCCACATGACATGTTTAAGATCAAAAGATCAAAGGGCATTTTGGTACATTAAACATATTTTACTTTAAGACCACAAAATTCAAGTCATTTTATTTTCTTAAACTACATTTCCAGTCAAACTAAGACAAACAAATTGAAACAAAGTAACAGAAAAAGCTGCTTAAGAAGACGAAAAGAGAAGCAAAAGAAACAAAAACAACACAGGGGAAATAAGAATTCACTTAGCAATCACTGATAATAGATTGCAATAGCAAGTCAATATCACACAAGAGGGACTTGGACATATGACAAAGAGATGCCTGCAGCAAAAGAAATCCTTCAATACTTGATTTTCTTTTCTAGCTACTTTTTTAAATGGAAAATATAAAACAGTTCCCAACCTTCAGATAAAACCCTTGTCAAGCTTGACAGCAAACAATTGGTATATTTATAAGTTCATGTGAATTTTTTTGATAAGGTAAAAATAAGTTCACATGAAAAAGGTTGACCAGATGATGAGTGAACAGAAAAAAAATGTACATATAACATTTAACCATTTAAAAGAGTTAATAGTTTCTCAACCAGATGATGAGTGAACAGAAAAAAAATGTACATATAACATTTAACCATTTAAAAGAGTTAATAGTTTCTCAACAGCTGAATCAAAATTACACCAACCAAATAAGAGCAGAAATGAATTATGCACACATCTATATACTTCAAGCTACCTGCACCTAAAATACAATTTCACCCGAGAAAATGACGCCGTCAAGTCATTCGCCAGAATTCAATATTAGTGCAGAATAAAATTATCCAGAGGACATTAAACACTCTCCAACTACAATAATCCCCAAAATATTGTCTCAATCAACCTTCTCACTGAAAAGAAAAGTCTAAAACCATGACTGCAGATTCAAAAGCTAAATTCAATCCAACCACTAAGCTTTTTTAACCGCTTATAAAGTTAAAAATGTAAACTGGTCAAGATACGACCACTAAACAGTTGGTGAGCATTCAATTAGTGCGGGAATGTATGATCATTTTACACACAGTAAGATATTAACGTAGGGACTTTCCCACCCTCCTCCTATGACCATGTCAAAATCCCTCTTCTCTCCCCATCTTGCCAAATAAAAAGTGATAGATAATAGAAGGATGAAGAACCTTGACTCACGTTATAGCAAATGAGTTAACACCATATCAAGTGTAAGGAAAAGACGAGAAAATAATTGCCGATAAATTATGCATAAATAGAAATGGTAAGTAAGGAACACTGGAGACAAATGCAATCATTTCAATGGCAAGTTAAATAAATTTTACTAACTAAAAGGTCATGCAGGTAATAGTAACGATGGTTTTGAACAAATACACGGGGGTTATGGTACTAGGAATGACAAAGGAAAATACACCTTCGAATCACTTTGGCTCATGATTTTAGTGCCAGCAAACCCACGTTTTATTAACAGAATCCTCACTTAATAAGTTATAAGAGTGGAGGTTATTATAGTCAACATCATACCTAGTATAATCCCACAAGTGGAGTCTGGGGATGGTTTTGAACAAATACACGGGGGTTATGGTTATGGTACTAGGAATGACAAAGGAAAATACACCTTTGAATCGCTTTGGCTTATGATTTTAGTGGCAGCAAACCCACATTTTATTTTATTTTGGTAAGGTTGTATTCTTCAGCATTAAGATTTAAGGGCATGCTGGCCACCACCAAAAAGTGTCAATTACAAACTTCCTATCAAATCTACAATCTGATCTGAATCTACTATACACAACTGTTTACACCAAAAAAGTAGATATACTATACAATTTTATATACATGATGGTAATAACCTCCACCATCTCTTCTGGCTCTTGGTACCTCCTCTCCTTACCCAGCTCTTCAACACGTTTGATGTACGTTCTGGCATTGCCCAATTCAGATTTGAGATGCTAAGGAACAAATTCCAGATTTGAGCAGTGTAATTACAGTGCAAAAAGAGGTGGCTGTTGGTTTCACTTGTCAAATTGCATAAAAAACACCTAGGGACCAGCTGTCTACCATTCTTCTGAAGTACTTCTTGTGTTAAACAAGCTCTCTTTATGTAGTTGGGGAGGGTGGTGTAAGCAAAGCTTACCCTACTCCAGGAGAAGCTATGACCACCCAACCTAACAATGTCTTAGATGTAAAGCACAAGAATAGCAAGAAAAGGAGGTGGTTAGCAAACAACCTCAAATTAATTGGCTGGTAATTAAGAGAGCTAACAAGTTAGCATTTCAAGAAAAACTACGAGAGAGTGGAGTTTGACACTTAGACAGGGATATCAAACATCCTGGGGACGGAAATGTCAGGTTGCATTAAAAAAGTAGCAACTCAAGTGCTAGAGGTGTCTAAAAGTCTAGGATCTCAAGTCTTTAACTCTCAACCATAATAATCCAGTAGTGGAAAAAGGAGGTACAAAGAAGTTATAGAACTAAACGAGGAGTGTTATAGGAAGTTGCTAAAGCAGAAGATAGAGAAGCCTTTGAAGAAAACAACATAGCCACATGGAAACTAAGAGCCCGTTTGGATTATCTTAAAAGTCAGTCAAACCTACTTTTAAGTCGGTTTTTGACTTCGTGAAGTGTTTGACAAATATAAAAAATAACTTAAAATAAGTTACGAAGGGTTTGTCAAGGTAAAAAATAATTTAAAATAAGTCAAAAAATGACTTAATAAGTCAGAAACCAAAAGTAGGTCTCCCCCTACTTTTATTTTTGACTTAAAAATCATTTCAGATTGACTTTTTATTTTTGACTTAAAGCTACTTTTTTAAGCCAATCCAAACGCGCTCTAAGAAGGCTACTAGTGTATTTGAGAAGAAGCTCTTGTTAGCTTATACCAGTGTATAGAGACGCAAGAAGAGAGAAAGATATGTGTAAACTAGCAGGACTAGGAGAAGAAGGGTAAGATGATAAACTAGATGAAGTGCATTACAGATTCTCAACAAGTGGTTACAAGAGATGACAAAGTCAAGCAAAGACGGATTATGTTGATCAATTGTTCAACTAACATTTTGGACCTCCATGAGTATGTGCACAATAGAAACTTTATCTGCACACATAGAATTGTCCAATGGAAGTAAGAATGCCGTGAAAGTTTCTTAAAGAGGTTGGAGTAGAATGGTTCACCATGCTATTCAATGTTATACTCACAAAGGATAGGATGCCCAAAAGGGGGGAAAGAGTACCCTAATTCCAATTTATAATAACAAAAGAGATATTCAATGTTGCCTGAACTATTGTGGCATTAAATCTCATGAGCCGTATGGTGTAACAATGAGAAAGAGTGATAAAGCAAAGACGTACGAATATGACAAAAGTGACTGAGAAATAATTTGGATTTATAGCTGTTAAATCTACATGAATGCTATAAACCTCGCAAAGCAGATTGATGGAAATTTATGACGAATGAAAGAAATTTGTATATATGGTGTATGATAAAGTAGTAAGAGGGAAAGAAACGCATATTAAATATATATACACACACTATAAAGAGCATGTATGAAGAGTCATCACTAGCATGAAAACTTTGAGCTCCTACTTGTTTGCCCTAGTTATGGATGAGCGAACCAACACAATACCAGATGAGATATACCACAAATGAGGCACCATGGTATATGTTTTTGGCTGACGATATTGTGTTGATTGACGAAACAAGAGCTGATGTCAACCAAAAGCTTGAACTAAGAAGAATCATTTAAACAAGTAAGGGTTTTAGGATAAGTATAAGTAAGAAGGGATATATGCACAAAATGGTTTCGCCAAGATGAGAAGAATGAAGTTAGGTGAGACTAGACGGCATACAATGCCAAACTACAAACTTCTTAAATAGTTAAGACTTGCCGTTTCAACAGAATGGAATGATAGATGAATATGTTATTCATAGAACTAAAGCTGGATGTTGAAATAGAGAACTGTTACTAGAGTGTTACGGTAATAGAAGGAAGTCTACTAAACTGAACAATAAGTTCTACAGAATAGTTGCAATACCGACAAGTAATATGGTAGTTATGTTGGGATGCCAAAAGTCAATCATATTCGCAAGATGAGTGTTGCAGAGATGTGAATGCTAAGATGGATGTGCAACCATACAAGATTAGATAAGATAAAAAACAATCACATTTGTTATATGTGCAAGTAGCAGACATTGAGGATATAATGAGGTAAAAATCACTTGAGCTGGTTTGGTCAATGTCTACCATTGAGCCACAACTACACATGCTGTCATGCTCCGATCAATATACACTATGGTGAGTTAATGTGTTAAAAGGAGACGTGATAGACCTAAAACCACATAAAATGAAGTTGTCAAAAAGATCTACAATTTCTTTGGATCAATGCAAACTTGGCTAAAGACGGGCAGGATGGGGAAAAAAGATTCATACAGGTAATATCTAATTATCTATCAGAGAGAATAGGTTTTCTTTTGGTTAGTATGTTGATTTCAGAACTATTGGTTTCCCAGGAGTATCTTGACCTTATTATAGATTTATATGCGATATATATAACATTATTATTAATACTACTATTAATCTTGATGTGACTTTTTTGATAAAAGTACTATTGTTGATGTGACTTATTATCACTTTTGCTTTTATTTGGCAATTATGATGACACAAGTTGAGGATAAATAGAGAAACATGGTCATTGAGGCTTAATATAGCCAACACCAGCTTATTTGGGACTGAGGCATATTTATGGTTGAATAAATTTTATATTGAAGGGCAAACAACAGTCACTGGCATAATAACATCAAAAAGTACAAAACCTTGCAAAAAATAGTTCTCTACGAATGATCAAATAATCTATACATATAGGAACCTGGAGGGTGACCCAAAAAGAAGTAGGGAATAAGAGGCTACTCGACATGTATTTCAATGGCAAGTTCATTTCAATGAATGAGTTTTAACTTATATACACCCACAAAGTAAGGAATACTTTACACTAACAAGTTACCCAAAAAATTAGATAGGTTATCCGTTACACCAGGTAAAGGTGGCATGATAGCGCAAAGCTTCTATGGATGTTAAAAGAGAAGTGCTAGTAAAGGAAGATTAGAATCCAACTCCATGAGGTAAGAATGAAGTAAATACAAGAAAAGATAATGCAGACCATACCCATGAATTAATTCTCCAATTTGGGGTTGCAATTCTTCATCTCTTAATTTGTGAATTCTGCTTGAAATTGCATCAATTGCTTTTATACAGACATTAAGTTTTGTCAGCAATTTTCTGATACATGCCTGGGTAGCATCTATCTTGCTAGACTCGGCCCCTTGCTCGTCCAAACTCCTCAGCCTTTTGCACTGCTTCTCATATATCATCCGCAGTTTTTCTTCATCCTACATCAAACTAATTACCTCAATGAACACAAACTCCCAAACAGTTGAATATAACTATGATAAGAATTCAACTTTTAGAAAGTAGATACAAAAATTAGCAATGGATAAATTCTGTAAAGATGTCAACTAAAAGCACTTAGAGATCAATCAAGTCTACAATATCCTCTAGAGAGAGAGAGAAAGAGAAGTTTGAAACAGATCCTTGAAGCAGTAATCATATGTAAAGATCAAAGATCAAGTCTATAACTAGGGGTGTCAAATGGGCGGATTGGGCTGAAATTGAAAATATAATTGAGATAGAAGTCAGGTTGAGTCTTGATCCGCCCAAGTTTACTTTGGGCTCAAATGGGCTTAAAACGGGTTGGGTCTTGTCCCGTCCAATTTGACCCAATTAATCTCAATAATTTAACATATTGATATTTAACTTTTATAATCACAATTTGAATTTTAGCTCAAAATTATTTTTTTTAAAAAGTAACAAATCGATAGATAAACCCTAAAAGATGCTAAATAGGTAATAATTTATACCTTAAATATAGAAACATATCTTAATAAAAAGTTTTGAAACGGGTTGAAATTGGAGATTGAATTGGGCTCAATTGAGGATTCTCTTCAAACGGGTTATGCTTTAATGGGTTGAGATTGAACCCAATTCAAATTATCTTGAACCCAACCCTTAAAATATTGGGCGATTGGGCGGGTTATCTATGTTTGGGTTCACTTTTGACAACCCTATCTATAACCCAAAATCATGTAATGACCCCATTAATTTAAAAGGGGGTACTATTTATAGAAAAGCTGAACACTCCCCCCGAAAATGAAAAGAAGATGTCCATTCATCTACAATTTAAAATGTAAGTATTCAAAAGCTATCTTGGCAGTATAGAAGAGACTTTTAAGTAACTTCCCTTTTGACCCTTTCACAAAAGGGTCTTGGCCTTTATCCCTCTGTTCTAATTCTGTTTATCACTAACCACCTTTGACCCACGGGCCATTAGATTCACCATGAAGACAATAACACCCATTGAAAGTAATAAAAAAATCAAGATTCATTATACATATGAAGTCAGCAAAACATTTAACCCGGAAATAGTGTTTATGCTATTATAACAACAATAACTAGGCCTCAATCCCAAACAAGTTGGGTTGGCTTTAAGCTATTATAAATTGAATGCAAATTAAAAGAAGAGAAACATTGAAATTCAGAAATGCTAGGTAAATCTTCACTCAGTTAAGAAATAAGTAGTGCTAATTAGTTGATAAGATCTTCCAAAGACTACTGGTTGATGGGACCATGAAGTCCTAAAATGATTATTGTTTGAAGGTTATCTCACTCTCTTGATTTTTACATGTAAAGATCCAATCCAACTATAGTTACCTACACTTGAAAGCTTTTGCCTTTTAATAGAAGGCAGTGTTTTATATTATCATATACTTAGTCACTTAGATAAGAGGTTTCAGTGTCCAAAATATATATCATGGGTTTAAAAGTGCTACAAATTCCATAATTCAGTGAGCCACGCAGAAAGAACTCAAGATTTCTTTATTCATCTGTGACTAAAGCACTTTGAGATCTTCACATAACTATGGAATATAATAAAGTTTTTTGTGAGTGAATAATAAAGTTGTTTATGGTGAAGATATTGGGTATAATAAAGTTATACATAGCCATAATTTATGCCCTCAATCTTTCACATTATCTCTAACAAGGGCACCAGTTCATAAATTCACGAAAGCTTTTTAATAAAAACAAGAAAATTCTTCAATCCTTGCTTTCAAACTGGAAGCAGATGCCTAGACCATGCCAACCTTTTACCCAAGAAACAAGATAGAGTAATTAACTATCCAAACATCTGAAATGACTAAATTCTGATGATCATATCCAGTTCATTTTCAGATGTTCTTCTTACCCAAAGTTATGAGAACAAGTTCCTCTTACATGTATAGAAGCACAGGCTTAACCTAGGAACTACCTCATTGAGCTCTTTCAGTTGGCCAAGGACACTATTAGCTGATTCGAAATCTGCAGATCTTTGATGATGAAAATCATTGAAGGACCTGCCCCCAAGAAAATTCTTAAGGCTAACGCCCAATGAATAACAATACTAGTTAAGCCTTCAACCAACCATAGCAAAAGCTGAAGAAGATATCAGTTAACTACCTTTATTATCCATTAGGGATAACTATCAATTCACATGACACACGAGAGATTCCATGTTTTTCCTCTTCTAAAGATTTTGACACAAAAATTATATATACTAGTAACTTTTTTTACAATAAAACAAATAGACAAATAAAACTTTCAATAAAAGAAAAAAGAATTGAAACAAAGATCTTAGTAGTTGCCTCCCATTACCTTAACTTCCTTATATAGTTTCTTCTCCCATTCGTATAGCTCGTCAAATGTAGATGACAAGTTACATGGCATCACATCATTGTCTTGTCCAACGTCTTCAAAATAGGATTTAGCTAATTTTCTTGTTTTCGCAGCCAGCCTTATTGACTGCACCGTTGCTGTATCGGAAACCGACATGGATGGAACAATCATGTATAGAATCCTAGATAGGAGCTCTGAGCACAAAAATAGATAGAACAACAAAAATCAGACACGAAAAAGAATGCCACCGTGTTTCTTCAAGAAGTTTATCAAGAAAGTCAAGATGACTGGCAAATCCCAAATAAAGGTACACAAGTGATGATTGATCACAGAAGATTCTTGAACTGGGTGCACTAATGGTGTTAGCTACACTCATGGGAACCATTTCCATTAACAGCCTATCACCATTTATGTTGTTCAAATCATAATGGAATAAACTAATAACAGCTAAGGAATCACATACATACATCCATTGGAAATGCATAAGTTTTTAACATTGACTGGGGACAAAAGCAACAATGACAGATACAACCTGATGCAAAATTGAATGTAAGCCCTCTAGTATCAATTTTTTTGCCTTTTTTCCAACAACAATAACATGAAGTCAGCAAACAGAGCTTCATACATTAAAAGTTATATTTTAAAATTTCGAACCACATTTTGACCAATTACATATTTACATTGGCAATTTAATATTTTTCCCATCTCGTTAATTATGATCAATACAGTCTGCTCTCTACAAACTAGTTGTGCAAATATACTGAGCAATAACAATATAAAACGACACGAATGCCGCAACTATTTGCCATGAATGAGCTGTCATCATTTCATGAATAAGGTTCTCAAGTTAGTCAAGACTTGAACAGATTTTTACGAATTCATGGCAAGGAAGGAAGTCTAACTGACCAGTACCAAATCTACACTCAGCAGAGCATAAGAAGATAACTTACGGACATAGCGAAGGATTTAAAAGTAAATGCACAAAGTAAAACTTAAAAGAACCCCAGCATCAACTGAATCAAGAGATTAAGGGACATTGGCAGAACCATACCTTTAACAAAGGTAGGCTGGTAAGGCAGCTTACCAACCTCAAGCATCAGAGCAACTTCCCTTCCATAACTGGAAGCAATCTCAAATTCATCTCGAATTTCAGCCACAACCTCATGTAGATCCCTGGTACCATGAGCATGTGATGTGGTCAAGCTACTTGACCTGGGTGATTCAATCTCGTTCTTTGACATTTCATCCACTTCAAAAGTCACCCCTTTCTTCTTCATATGCACATCACCCGAGCTTCCTGACACGAGAGTTTCAAAATTGCTCTTTTCCTCTGTAATATCAATTGAACCTGTGCCTCCACTACTATGTGATGGTTCTACACTCGAAATGTGAGAACTTGAATCGTACATTGTTGATATCGGCTTTGCCCTGCCACCACTACCCTCAGATTTTACTCCCCTCGAACTTGAAGAGCCATCCAAATTATGTAATGACGAGTCTGGTTTTGAACTGCCCATACTGCTGGGTCCTGCTACACCCCTTAAATCAATGCCATGAGGCATTGATGACATGGATTTTCTACCACTGTCACTACTTCTGGACGAATTTGTCTCCCCGCGCTTAGTCTTTGTCTCATCACTCAGCTTCTTTCCTTTATGATACTCCTTGTACATTTCAGTCTCAGTTTCTTCTTCCAAATCAGGAATGCCCTCCCTCTCCCTCACTTCAGTAGAATTAGGACTACTACTAACTGATGCAGAACTGTTCTGTTTATGCGGGTAGTAGGCCGAATAACCACTCTCTACACCCTCAAACGGATTAAAATAGTCCCAAGCAGAGACATTTGCGGACGGAGGTGGCGGTGGTTCCTTTGGTGGACTTGGTTTCTTACCTTGATTACTTTGACTTCCCATTTCACCAATTGAAGGAGCCATTGGGTACCCAAAATACCCACCATTGTCATTTGGGTAGCTCCAATACGAATTGGAATACCCAGTAGGCACTGGATCTGCCTCGTGAAAGACTGTCTTCATCACTGGCGAAGATTTCTTCATGTAGTAAGCATACGTATTTGGATTTCCACCAAACGGCTGCCCTCCCCAAGGAACCTGATACTGTGGGTTCATTCCATAAAATGGATCCCAATATCCTTGTGGTGGAGCCTCATGATTCATCATCATCCCATATGGCAATCCCCCAGGCCCCCAACCTGGCTGTGAATACGGAGAAATTGATGATTCCCCACTTTCAACCATATTACGACCCTCATAATCTTCATATACATTCCCATGATTCCTTCCAGACTGCTCATAGTCTTGTTGTAAATTCCTGTGACCCCCTCGATTCTCATTATGTCCATGTACATTTCTATGACCCTTTTGTGGCAAATTTTGATGCTCGTCGTCCGATGAATCCGACGACAAATGCAAGTGACCATGGTCATGTACAGGTTCATCTTCATCATGAAAACGTGAAATGGAGCTATCTGAAGACGAAATCGATATCGAAGATCCAGAAGATTTATGCTTATGATGTGTATTTCCACTAGCATTACTTCTATTACTACCAATTTTCCTTTCATCAGGCAAAATTAAGGAAGGAGAAGAAGGGGTCGAAAAAGACGAAGAAGAAGACCCAACAATGAGCTCTTCATCAACAAACTTCCGAAGAGCATCACCAACATCCTTAAGTGAGTGAAAATAGGAAACATGAGCAGCCGCGAGGGCATAACGGTAATTAGCAGCAGCCTTGATCAGTTCCTTCCTCTCTCTACACCGAATCACAAGTTCTGTATCAACTGCTTTAGACTCATTACACCCCATCTCCACAACAACAACAACAACCAAAAAAAAAAAAAAAACCCAAACAGTCGTCAACCCATACAGCAGCTACTTTAATCACCTCTACTTTCCGTACAACTTTTCCACCGCCTCCGGTCATCTCTTTACCTGTTTGCAGAATTGCATTGTGAAAAAAGCAAAACCCCAAATCCCAAATGTTGATTACAATGACTTTAAATTCGGCAAGTACTACTAGTAAAAGTAAAAAGTAGTATGAGAAAGAAAGGGGAAAAAAATAAAAATCTGACCTTTGAAATAGAAAAGGTTGAATCTTGACCGCCCATACGAAATGGGTGTTACAGAAAACGAAGTGGGGGCAACAAAAATCAATAAATCTATGGAAGTTTGTAGAGAAACGTTTGTTTTTACAAATGGGGGTTCAGAGAATTGAAAAATTCAAGAAGCAGTAAATAAAAATTTGAAAGAAGAACAATTATATGTATTGAGATTTGTGATGTTTTTGGAGATTTGTGATTGTTGTCAGAAGTTTCAGTAAAGAAAGAAACAGAGGAAGAAGAAGAAGAAAGAATATAGTAATTTTTTATTTCAAATATATTTCAATTTTTGTCTACTATACTATAGTTTTTTTTTTGTTTATTTATTCGGTGATTATTTGGATTTGTGTGAAAATAAAAGGGGGTTTATGGAAAGGGGCCCGAGGAAGGGTTTTTAAGGTGAAAAATAAAAAGAGTGTCAGAATTTTTGCAGAAGAAAGCTCGTGGATAGTGAACAATGACATTATTAACATTTGTTGGGTGACAAACATTGTGTTTTTTTTTAAAAAAAAAAAAAAGGTTTTTGCCTTTTTACTTTTTTTTTCTTTTTCTTTTTTAGTTTAAAATTTTGACATGATGAAAAAAGAGTAAGGATGTTTGGACATATATAAGAAGGAGGGTGAAAATTAGAAAGGGGAAAAAAATAAGGGTATGTTTAATTTGAATGACATAAATTAGAGTTGTTTCAAGAAAATATGTGAGTAATTTTAGAGTGACAAATTGTAAAAATAGTATTTTGGAAATTTTTCTATTCTAGATTTTTTGGGTTGTAATTGAAATTTTGAAAAATAGTTAACAATTACCAACATCAATGGATTATTTGGTGTTTGGTTGCCGGGGGCGGATCAAACGTAAGAGTCCATTAGGTGTTCAAGTATTCATTAATTTTATTTCGAAATATATATCAAGAGAGAGAATTAAAAGGTATTTGTATAAAATTATTATAGAGGTGAACAAATGATTTAATTGGTCCATTAACTCTTGGATGAGTGTGACTCTTTTAGTGTTGTTGAATCCAAGTTCACATCTCATTGTTAACATATCATTTTATATTTTTGTCTCTGTCACTTTCAGATCATTCAGAACCTTAAAATCTTACGCTCACCACTGTTGGTAGGATGCACAATATGTTTTGTATAAAAATAGTACTAAATATTATTTATTAATATGTTGATATAAGTCATATTTGTATGGTTATACTAGTTATATTTACATTATTATGCTGAAATTATTTTTTATGTCATAGTTGATTTAATATTATATTGCATAATTTTTAAAATGATTTTAAATGATTATTTGTTTACAAAATACCTATCATGATTCACAAATATAGTTAAATATAGTTAAAAGGATGTGAAATGTGTATGGAGGGACAATTCTATCTTTATTCATGCAAATACATGCGTTAAAGCTCTTTGACTTTTGCATCACTAATATTGTGAAATTATGTACTTATATATAATATAAAGTTATTACAAAAATATACCAATAATATAAATATACGAATAATTTTAATATAATTTTTTTAATAAACTCTTTCGAACAACTCCTAAATTTTTAAATGAAATTATAAAGACCGATCGACTTTCGTTTTGATGTTTATAAATGGGTGTGGGTTTAATTTAAGTTTGTCAATCCTATTGCAGTTGATGCATTTTTTTTTTGTAATAAATAATAAATAAAATAATTTTACTATGTCATGTCAAATTATTATAAGTTAATTTACATATTAAAAATAAAATAATACTTAATAATAAAGATTAAATAAATATATGATAATAAATTATTTTTAATCAGATAATATATATTTTTAGTATAATTATAGTAAAATGAATAAAAAGTGTAAAGTTTAGCGACACAATTATAGCAATGATCCGATCTTAAATTATAATATGTATTATTATTATCGCATAGATTTCAAATCCACATTGTGAATCTATAATTTCTTTTTTCAAATTTACTTTGTGTTAACTGCTTATTTTATTTAAAAATGAAAAGATGATTCCCTCTCATCTGAATTCATATTAACACTTTTAAAATATTTTATAATAAATATATTTGACACTAGTTTAATAATAATACTTTCTTTTAGATGAATTTAAAATTTAAAAGAATTTTTCCAACATTGAGAATGTGTTTACCTATTCGAGTTTAGACTTTTTGACATAATATTTTGACAAATTAAATTCTACGGAAAATGGCATGACATTGACCATTTAGCGTGGAGAACTTTTTACATGTAGCAAATATAAAATTTATATTTGGTGTGGAGAACTTTCACATATAGCAAATATAAAATTATATTTGTATGTTTTTGCAAAGTTTCTATAATTGTGTTCCGCGGTAAATATATATATGTATAATTCATTATACGTATATAATTGAAGATAATTGTATAAAACGAGAAAGAGATAAATTATATATAATTTGAAATTGTACAAACGAGAAAGAGAGAAAGGCAAAAGAGAATTGGGTAGGAAAATATTTGTATTGTATAACTATAAGTGTATAGGACGATATATATATAATTTGAATTTGTATAAAATGAGAAAGAAAGAAAGACAAAAAAGACTTGGGCAGAGAATATACAATTGAATCAATTGTATAAAACGAGAAAGAAATAAATTATATACAATTTGAATTTGTACAAAACGAGAAAGAGATAAAGGCAAAAGAAACTGGGAAGGGATCATTTTTATTGTATAATTATAAGTGTGTAGGACGAAAATATATGTATTTACATGTGTATATACAATTTTTTGTCGCTTTATACAAACAGAAACACAGTTTATACATTTCGTTTCTAGTTGTATAAGCGAGAGAGACGAGAGTGGCGAATGAAATTAGGTAGAGTGACGAGCAAGATCTGGAAGAGGGGAGCGAAGGAAACGAAAATATATTTAAACAATTTTCTCGCTTTATACAAACACAAACACATTTTATACATTTGTGTTTGTATAGAAAGCGAGAGAGGCGAGCAAGATTGCCTCTGAATGAGAGTGGCGAGCGAGATTCCACTAAAAAGAGTGGCGAAAATAATTATAATTTGCTATAGGATACAATTAAATCAAAATATATTTATAGCATTTAATTTAAATTAGTAATTTGCTATTATACAAACCGCTCAAAACAATTTGCCATAATTTTTGCTGAAATTGTTAAATTTTATTTAATAGAAAAGATAACACATCATACCAATAGGGAATAACATAAAAGCAGGTGTTTTCTAGGTTTAATTTGTAGGATCTTTATGATATCAAGCGTGTATTTAGAATTTAAATTTTTATAAATTTAATTTTCAAAATTTCAACGTTATTTATTATAATTCTAAAGTTATAAACTTGTGTTTCATTATTTATTAGAATATTATTAAAATTCTGTATAAATTTATTTTTCACTCAAAAGTGTCCAATTTAGGTGAATTTAATATCATAGAAATAATTTTTTTCGTAAATTATTTTTTCCCTGTGTACAATTCCATATTTAGCAATTATCACCTTTCTAGATTATAAAAGGATCATTTAGTTCTGGTCCTTGATTCTTGTAATTTCTTTTTTTTTCCTTTACGATTTTAAATTTAATATTATCTCCAAAAACCTTTCTAGGTTATGAAAGGATCTTTAGTTCACAAATATATTTATGCATAAATTGTAATATACAAATTAAGCATATATTAGTAATCATTGAATTTTAGTTATTCCTACATTGGATTTAAGATAGAATGAGTACTATGCTGTTTAGACTAGTCTCCTTATGACTTTTAATTACGTTTGTCGAATAAATTATTTATTATAAAAAATGAAATAAAAATAATCGTTGAATTAGTGCATGTAGTTAAACAGTCTCGTCTTAATTTTGATTTTTCTTTTTCACAATAAATGAGAAATAAAACGATGAAATAAAGCTTATATTGACTTTTTATGTGGTTTGTTTCGTAAAATTAAGTTTCATAACAATTAATTCGATTGAATTCGATACATATAATATTTGAAATATAACAAATTTGATAGTGATGTTATCTTTTTTTTCCTCCGTCTGGTATTCACCATGAAGCAGTATTTATCGCTTCACAGTCCTTATTTGAAAATTTTATAGTGATATCATATATAGTTATATATGACGAAATTTTAACTAGCTTCCACAAGAAAAATAACACGAAGTATACATCCACATTCCACACACATCCATCAATCCAAAAACAATAGTAATTATTAGCGAATATGGTATAACGATTGAGACTATCTTTTTAAATCGAAGTTTTGGATATGAATTATGAGTTATGATTTATGAATATGAAAATTAATCCCATTGCATATACTCAACAAATAAAAAAATCAAAATATATTAAATTGTGTTATAAAATACTATGGTTTGGATGTCCATTATATTATGAAATTACTCTTATTCATTATCTCCATTATTGTCCTCCATTACGAAGATAATCACAACCTCCAACTTTATAACCATTATTCGTGTAACACTTCACTTTCATAACCTCTTTCGTTATATTCATGTTAATGTCATGTTTATGACTAATCTTTTATATGTCTCTATGTTACAGTATAAATAGAAACATACACAATTCATATTGTATACGCTTGAAAATTTTATATTAAAAGAAATAGAAAGTTATCTTTATATTGTTTTTTTTCTTAAGTTTCAACAACAAATTTGCAATTTCTATTTTCCCTTTGCTCTTGATTTTTGCTTCTCATCTACATATAAAATTAACTTACTATGTTCCCTTTTGGAAGGAGATGTAGCTTTCAAACATGAGATCATGATGAGAATCTTTCATAAATTATTATTTTTTGTTATCTCTTGTGTTTTGAGAAAATTTTAATATAATGCCATTTATTTTTGTATTTTAAATTGAAGTATTAAACATAATCTTTAGTAACAGTTCAAGTTTATATCTGTTTGACCAAGAATTTTTTTATTTAATTTGAAAATTAGGGTTGATCATGACAATTTTAAATATAATTTAAAATTGTTTTTGGAATTTGGAAAATACTGAATTCGTGTTTGTTTTTTTTTTACTTTTTTTTCATCTTCACAATATCCTTTTTAGTATAACGGACAAAAAAAAAGAGATTAAAGTTTAACGACATAATTATAGCAATGACATGGTCTTAAATAATTATGTACGATATTTTGTTATTATTATGGAATAAGTTCTAAATCCCTACTGTGAATCTCTGATTTCTTTTCAAAAAATTACTTTGGGTTAAGTACTTCTTTTATTTATTTATTTGAGTAAATTAAAAGATGATTCCCCCTCATGTGAATTCCTCTCATAAAATATTTGGCACCATTTTTAATAATATGTAATACTTTTT